AGGTGTAAACAAAGGCAAAATTAGCCCTAACTCTCAGTGTTTCAAAATTGGCACTGAGAGTAAGGAATCAGGATTTTGCAGCCAGAAGGAACAGATCTTTTAAATAAAGCACCATAACTTCCTTTTAAGTGAAAGGTCTGAGGTGCCCCCATCTGGTATCTCGTAGAAATACCACTGTACAAAGATGGAGCAGTCCTACAGGAGCCTCACTGGGCCCCACTCTCTGCCATTTGTTGGCCCAGCAGCAGCAGGAGAGGGAATTGTTTGCAAGCAAGCAAGAGCCAGCAGCTGGCCAGCAAGTCAGCAGCCACATAGGTTTGACAAGCCCAGATGGCAGGCCAGAAAACATAGGTAAAGGTTGTGGGAGAGCACCAAGGATAGCAGTGGGAGAAGAGAGGTTGTAAGGGAGGTATGGGATGTAGAGAACTGCAGGGAAAGCTGATGGTTTTGTGGCAATGAGGTGAGGGGCATAAAGGCTTGGAGTAAGGGGTGTGTGAGGATGGGTAGGCTGGAGATATTGCAGGGGGGAGAGCTATAAGGCACAGGGAAAATGAAGAAAGTTGGAGAGCAGGTAAGGCTATTGGAGAGTTGGAGAGCAGATTAGGACACGAGGAAATGGCCTCAAGTTGCACCAGGGGAGGTTCAGATTGGATATTAGGAAAAATTTTTACACTGAAGGGGTTCTTAAGCCTTGGAATGGGCTGCCCAGGGAAGGGGTTGAGGCATCATCCCTGGAGGGATTTAAGAGATGGGTTGCCATAGTGCTTGGAGCCATGGGTTAGTGATGGGTTTTATCAAAGTTAGATTGATGGTTGGACTAGATGATCTTAAGGGTCCCTTCCAACCCTGACAGTTCTATGATTCTGATATTGTAATTCAATCAAAAGATTAAAAGAAAATCCAAATCACCTATTTTGCTCAGGCTTCATTTGTTTTGCTGCTCTCCAAACTGCTTGCTCTCTTCTGAATTGCAGCAAAGAGACTTCCATAACACCAACAAAACAGTTTTCCAAAAAGGTGATGTGACAACACACTGAAAACTTCTTGTAGCAAATTTATCAGCAGAGTGTTGCTGTTAGCTCAGACTTCATTTAAACTGATGAGCAGAACTATTGCCCTTCAGAGAGCGCTAGGCTTGCCCATAGCAAAGGCATATACTGGTTTAGTTGGAATTTGAATGCTCTGAGGGGCTTGAAATGTGGGGTTAGTAGGCAAGACAAAGCAACAGAGATCCCAACAATAGGAACAGGGAGAAAGATGGCTTGGATAAATGTGTTGCAGGCAAGGACCTGAGAACACCTGGAGTGAGGGCTATGAATGAAGCAGTTTGGTGCTGTAGGCAAGGACCCTGCTGGGTCTTCCCTGTTTCTCCTCTTCTAACTAAACTAGAGCAGTCCACAAAATTTTACATGTCGCTTTGGATGGACGGTACTCTGGAAGGATGAATCTACATCTTCAGAAACCTGTCTGCTGCCCATCATGGGTCATACAGCCTGTTTTCTCATTTGAAGAAGATATATTTCAGTAGCAGTGTGCCCAAGAAAAAATCTTTAATAAATTCTCTGCAACTTGAATTACTATCCATATATAAGAACGACAAAAGAAGTAAGAATTACTAGGAAGCCACTTGACAGGAAATAATCACTTTCTTCTCTGGCCCAATTTTCTTGGTCTTTGTTTCCATTAACACATAATAGATAACATTCTTTTTAACAGCTGTACAGTCTAGTATTCACACAGCATCCAAGAATGTCCTGAAAATGTCCATTTATGATAACTAGTAAGCCTTTCCACTGTGCAGAATTCTAGGTTTTTGAGTTTCGTATATTATGATTATCTTTGCAAAAGTGTGGAATTGTTGAGAACAAACAGGCTTAATAAGATGGTTTCTTCCTGTTTTTAATTCTTCAGTTCCTAACTGTGCTGAACTACGACAGCCGCATTGCCCACCGCATCTCAGTGCTGGAGCAGACTCTTGGCATCATGGATGAGGTAAATCCTAAGTGAACCACTCCATCTGAGAGACACATCCTTGGTTTAAATGCAAGTCCCCTCCTTTGTTAGCAAGAGGTGTCTGTAAGGAGTAACTGCAACTGGTGTAGGGATGCTAACTCTTCAGCTAATGCAAGGGCTGTTGGAGCAGAGCCGTAACAGCACACACGGATTAAGATATATATCTCTCCATGTATTTATTCATCTGGCTTTCAATAGTTTCTTCATGCTGCCCTGAGATGTCTGCAGCAGCAGTTCTCTGAAGTCTTTGGAGCCAGTCATCATACATTCATTGTTGCATAGATCAACCCTGAGGAGAGAAATCCACTTGCTCTGTTACTGGAATTAAATGCTTCCTGGACATCTGGTGCAGATCTGCTCATCACTTCTTACCCAGCACTGCCTATAAAAGCCACTCTTCCATTTCTAATGAAGCATTCTTCCAGTCTTTGCTGCTTAATGTTTCTCTCCAGGAGCCTTTTCATAATATTACTCCCTCCCTATATTCAAAATATCAGAGAAACAACCTGATCTGCTGGGTCCCTCATCTTTTTCAATATTCAAATTATGATTAGCTTTGTTTTTAAGTGATACCACTTGATTTTCACCAGGTTGCTCCAGCTGGCATCAGCTTCCTCTTCAGGCTTTAGTATTTACCTTGTCCCTTTGCAGCCCAGGCGACAGCTTCAGCACAACAACCCTTTCTTCAGCAGCTCCTACTGTGTCCCCAGCCAAGAGTGTCCTCAACTCACTGATTCTGTTGGCTTCCTTTCCTCCCTTTGCCTTTCAAGCTTTATCTTTAATATCTCTCTTTCCCTGCCCCATACCTCTGTTCCCTGTCTGCTACTTCTGTTAGAACTCCATGAAGGGTACTGGAATACACTGTGTGTGAAAGACTAAATAAAGCTAAAAGGGGCTACTATTCAAAGCAAAATACATGAAAGTTTACTGAGCTACAGTGCAGTGCTTAAGATAATGGCTTTCCATCATAACTTTGTCTGAACAGCTTTTGTATAATCTCATATATTTGCTTTATTCATTTGGAAATTGACAGCTGCACAAGAAGAACGTGAAGAACCGTCAGAAAAAACTTAAAGAGTTGGAGAAGTGCATCAGTTTAAAAGAGCAAGAAAATTATGAGCTCAGCCTGGAGCTGAAAGAAATGCTTGTCTCTGTTTCAGAAAGGAGGCCCATCTTTGAGGCAGCCGGTGAGTCCCAGTGACGCTCTAAGTCACAAGCAAAGAACATTCAGAAAACATCTCCAAGGCCAGATGGGCCTGTTCTCCATCCGCACCATCAGTCCTCTGTGCACAATTAGCACTGCCCTTTCTACCACAACAATTTAACATCATTTACTTAAGAGCATACCTAGAGATTGAGGCTCTTGTTACCCAAAGTTAATTGACTAAATTGCTAAAACTATGTAAGTCAAAGTATTGTAGTCATTAATACCTTCACTGGGCAACCGGAGTTCACTCTTTCTCAGAACTGTTCAACCCACTTCTTTCCACCCATTCAAAGGGGACAGGGGAAGAAACGTGACACTCAGAAGGCTGTTCACTATTAGGAAAACTGTAGAGATCTTTCCACTAGTTATGGATTTTCAAAATAGTAGGTACCTGCTAGAAACTAAAGGAAGCACGCCCAGGGCCTTTTTGAATTTTTTTTGCTTTATTCAATACTACAAAAATCTCTTAAGCCTGACTGTAAGCCTTTTTTAAAATCCTTGCCTATTTTATACAGAACTTGGCATAACCCCAGGACAGGTCGAATATAAATATAGACTATGCATCCCCTACAAGTACAGGCTAACCCTTCTATCTTGTTTTATGCAGACACACGGCACGTTTCTGAGAAGATTGCAAAGCAGCGTTACCGAGAGATTTTGAAGCAGAAACACCTACGGGGTCTTGTGAAGGAACAGGGAGAAGAGTTTGACATTCTTCAGGCAGAAGCTGAAAGACTGAGATCAGGAACATTCCCTGCTCTTTAAAAATCAAAGCCCAGGTAAATGTATGATCCCATGGTCTTCTCTAAGAAAAAAGAGCTTGGACATCTGCCTTTTCTCCCTGAACTTTTATTTCCACAAACAATTTCTTCTGTAATTTCCTTAAAAATAACTTCAGTTTGAAAGATGTGTGTTTGTCTATTTTATACATTCTATTCCTAGCCTTATCCCCCTTATATTTCAGTCCATGAGATGTTTTTCTGCTGATTTGATTATATAAACTATACACCTCATTACAGAAAACAAAGGGTACAAGAAATTGTAGACTGATGGGGGAACAGGTGTATTTGTATATCCTTAGCCTGCAATCTGCAGCTGTAGAACACTGTGAAGTACTGCAAGAAATCCATGAATTTGCATCAGCCAAAATCCACGTCCATGGCTTTTACTTCATTTTGCTTTTTAAAATATATTTACACCTGTGATAGTAGAGGTGTGTGTTGCTGGAAGGTGGATATATGCTTTGGAATGACCACGTGTGATACCAGGCCCAGCTGCTGCTGCTTCTGATGGCGTACCCACCCACAGCCACCAGCAGCTGCAGCAGAAAAGCGTGTGGAGGAAAAGAAGGTTATCCATGCAGGAGAAGTCATGCTTGGCCAATCTGACAGCCTTCTGTGATGGCAGGACTGGCTGGTAGATAAGGGGAGAGCAGTGGATGTGTAGACTTCAGCAAGGCTTTTGACACCATCTCCCAAAATAGATGAGCTTTGGAAGCATGGGTTAGATGAGCAGAGGAGGAGGTGGATTGAGAACTGGCTCAATGGCCGAGCTCTGTGTATTGTAACACTTGACAAAAAGTCATTTTAAGGAGGAAAAAAAAGCAGACAGAATTCACCACACTATATGCATAGGCCTTCAAGAGAAAATAAACAATTTCAAGTTAAGATTAAAAAAATAATTTTAAAAAGATAACATTTATTGGAGGAAAAGTGAAATGCTAAACTTTTATTCTGCTTTATGATGTTGTATTTGAAGCAATACCATTAGACAAGGCCTTGTTTTTCTTCTTTATTTGAAGAGAAAACACCTTGGCTTTCACATCAAGTAGTAGAATAGCCAGATGGTGGTTGCCATTTTCTTGCCTTCTATTATCTCAGGCTGAGGCAGAAGGCTTAAGAGAAAGCTTTCCCTAAAGACAACTTCTGGACCAATATCTGAAGATGACTGCATTATGGCACATTTCCCTCAGTAATAATTAAACATCTCATTGCAGCTTCAGAATATTAACAACATGAAAATTAGTTATCTTTACTTAACTCACAAAATGCTGTCAGCAGGAAGACATTTGTAAAATGGGGATGTATCTATGAACAAAGAACTGAACTCTTCCCCATCTGTACATCAACAGAAGTGACAATTAATTTGAGCTCATTATTCCAAGACAAGTAAGCACGCAAAGACTAATTAAAGAACGGACTGCCTTCTACCTGTTAAAGTAGGACTTGATTTCATTTTATTTTTATTGAATAACTATTCACTGATCAAATTATCAAGCCAGGTCTTCCAAAACAGCATGACTTTCATCTTTTCCATTAAGTAGTGGTTTTTACAGTGCCTACTGTACACAGCTTCACAGGTATCTCTCCTCACTTCAAAGCATCAAGCCCACTGTCTGATCAACACTTCTTCCATCATCAGAGTCCATTCAGTCTTTTCTGCTTATGCGTGTGTAATTGAAAGTTTTGCACCATTATATCATGCATCTACAAAGTCTTCTTCTGTTCTGCTGTAGTGCAATAACCGGTCCTCTAATCCAAAAGTATCTATCAGCTGAGTGAGACTCACTTTCTTGCCATCAGCAGAAAAGGCTGACTGTAGTTCATACAGCATCAGCTGGGTACTACTTCTCCACTTCACTATCAAAGCCTGCAGTTCAGACAGGTTGTTCTGAAATTGGGACAAAACAAACAAACAAAAAGATTTGTCATTTGCTGAAACGTGGGGGCTTTTGATACCCTGACTTATTTTATAAACATCTTAAACTGAGACAATACACCAACACCACACACACACACAAAATGAGTCTGTGTTGTTGCTTAAATTAATAAGTAAATATTACACTATGAATTCCCCTTCAGAGAATAACTTCAACGTGCTTCTTCAGAGGCTCACCTCACCTTAGATCGATACATCTTAACCAGTTTGAGCCTTCGAAGTAGTTCTTCCTTCTCTTGCACTTGTTTCACCAGCCTTAATTTTACTTCCAGGGACTGTTGCTGACTAAGCTCACCCTGTAGCTCATCAGAATTCTCTGCTGATCCACAGAGACCACTCTGTCTGTCCTGTGAGGGACTTTTGAAACATGTATGTCCAGTGCTGTTTCTTTCCAGGTTTTCAGAACCATCTTGTAATCTGGAACAATCTGTACTTGTCTTTGGCAGGCACTCTCTGTCAGCATCAGCACAGTCTTTTTCTTGAGTGTCTATTTTGAGCCGCTTTGCAACTGTAAAATTAGCATTAAATGAACGTCTTGTTTTCCTTAATCGCTCCCTCAGAGCTGCACTCATTGGCTACAAAAAAAAATAAAATACACAGAACAAACCCAAAGATTTTTGAGAGAACAATCTAATTCTTGAGCAAATTTCAAAGAACTGTTTACCCTGGTTATTATTTACATAGAATATGACATATATGCTAAAATCAGTGTAAAGCCAGACTTCCTAATTCTCTCTGTAGCTTTCACAAACTTAACTTCTGTCCGTCGCCCAGTCCAGTCTGGGGTTTTTTTTCCCTGCACATGCTGGTGACATGATTGTCATCCCAGGAGTTTGATAGGGTTTTGTATGTACTGTATACTTTTTCTTTCCTTTTTAAAAATTTTCTTCTCATTTCATTATTTATTAATAATTTCCAATTTCGTTTTTTTTTCGAAACTCATAAATCTCTTTCTTCGTCTCCTTGCTTTTTTAGAGGGGGGGAGGGAGGGGCCATCTGCATTCTGATTGGTCAATCCCACCAAAATCAGGACACAGCACAAGCAGAAGGCACAGAAAGTTATTCTGCATCCACAGCAACCCAGAAAACTAGGATCTGAGAAAATTGAAGATGGCAAATTAAAAAAAACAAAACAACCCAACAACCACAAACCCAACACCAACAAAACACACCGCAAACCCTAAATAGTATTGAAATTTATTAATATGGCATTTGGGGTATACTACTCCATCACTTTGTATTCACAGCAAAAATCTGCCTGTTCAGAGGAAAGCACACTGAGCGCATTCCTTACCTGGAAAACCTTAGGGCATAAGCTACCTACCTTTAGTCTTCCAGCAAACAGCATCCTCCAACCACTTAATGATTTCACAAGCCTTTTTGTTCCTACAGAGTCACATTATTGGAAAAACAAGTAAGTTTTCATACCTGTTTCCCTGAACTAGTTCCCTGTGGAGCTGCTGTCCCAGAATCCTTTGGAGTATGGCACAAAGACGGCATTTTATCAAGCACTGGTTCTTCCATCTTGAGATGGGTAGCAATTTCTGTTAAAAGACAGAATGAATTCTGTATGGTGCCATTTTCATCTGGTTATAATGAGCCACTTGGCTGCAGAAACGAGTAAAAAGCCCTAATAAATACTAAGGCTTATTTTCTAATTGTTAAGTTCAAGAAGATATCTGCATAAGTTACACAGCTGTTTCATGTGCCAAGCAGCATCTCGCTTTGCAAGTGGCTTTTCTTCAAGAGGATGAATGATGCTACTGACTGTTATAAAGTATCTTACTATGAATTCCATATATTATTTTTCCCTCATTCATAAAGCTCTGGATTTTTTCTTAAAAAGATGAAAAATATTATGAAAAGTCTTACAGATATTCTCTATTATAATTTTTTTTCCTATCTGATATCCTCTTTCAAGTGTTAAAAAGGAGCAAGACAACTTACGAAGCACTCAAGCTCATTATAGTACACCTATAAACCCAAGGTCAGATCCTGCAACATCGAAACAAGTCATCAAAAAAGTTCATTCCAAACAAATAATATTTTCTTAACCTGAATGACCATTACTGCTTGTCTAATGCAAAGGAATAATCCTTACTAAGACAGGTTGTGAAGAACCAGTCCTTTCATTTAACTGCATCCCAAGCAGTGATAAAAGGATTGTGGGGAGCCAGAAGATTTTTATTGTCCACATGTATAAACAATTAATCTTTTCTATAAAACAAAATAATTGGGTATACAAGTCTGTGAAAATAATCCACTATCGCACTTGATCTTTCTGGGAGTGCTGCTTAAAAAAGTAACTACTCACACAAGTAGGGTTTTAGATTAAAAGTAAGCATTCCCAGTTCGCTCAGAAAAGTGCTTTAATTAAAATGATAAGTCACACCTCTCAGCAGGTACCAACTTCAAATTGTTTTGGCAAGGTTTATCTTAGTTTAGCACTTGTGAACCACCTGCTGATGGCCAAAATGCAGCTGGAAAATCATCAACTACACCTCTGTTTACCTGCAAGTTGCAAATAGGACTTTCAAAACAGAAGCCACTTAAAAATAAAATCCTGTCAAAGAATTCACTAGACAACACAAGATTGGCATAAGCAGCTCTCTCTTCAGAGATGAAACACACCGAAGTTTCAGTATGCCAAAACCTTACCAGCCCGGCAAACCCTGGTCTTCCTGGCTCTATTCCAAAGGACACAGGTCCTCATTTATCTTACAAGTCAATATTCCCTCCCCCCTTGTTCAAAATCAACATCTGTTATTATATTAAAAAAAAAATCCAGACTTTTGTAAATAAAGTCTAGTTAATTGGGTATTTTAGCAATCTATCAATTAAGCAGGAAATCCACAGCACCCATTAAATACAATGCAAATCATCATTCTTATTTCTTAATGTAAGCAAGAGCCTAGAACAGGCTACACCATGCCTACGTATATAGTATGTCATAAATATGTAATAAATCTTACCCAGCAGCAAAATAAATTCAAGAGCTGGCTTCAACAGACTTGTTCAACTCTCTCAAAGTAAATCCTGTGGCTTTCTGCCTTTACATTCTAATGCAGATGATTGGTCTTCAAGTGACAATGACTATAATGAACACTTCTTCCAATGGTTTACTAATGCTGTTACTTTAACCCTCAGTTCGGCAGCACATTCAGGTGGATCTCCTACACCCTTAAATCCTTTCCAAAGATCTCAGCCTAAGAATCCTTTACATTTTCAAGCAGTGATGCTATTTGTCACACAGAAAAATCATTCTGCCCAGCACATATGAAAAACTTGGGCTAGAAGGGGGAAAAGACAATTTTGCACTTCAGTACTTACTCAATTTTGCACTTTGGGCAAGTCCCTACCTCAATCTTCCTGCTTCTAGCTGCCTAATGTAACAGCACTCACTCCTTTTACCATCGGAAGGCTGTGTTAACAGTAACAATCCTTCCCTAGCTAATTCTCCACCCTGCAGGGAAGCAGAAAGAAGGCTGGGCAGCCCAAAAAGCAGGGCTGCAGACCCAGGGAGCTCCTTCTGCGGTGAGGCACCCCAGAGGGCCGAGGCCCAGGGAGCAGAGCAGAGTCCCCAAAACCCAGCCCAGGGAGTGGAGCAGAGTCCCCACAACCCCAGCCCAAGCCAGAGGCTGCCCACAGGCCGCGGAAGGCGGGGAGGCCCCTCACGGAGCACCAGGCCCCCAGCCCCACCGCGGCCTAGCCTGCCCCTAGGCCCCAGCTGGGCCAGGACCCGGAGGGGGGAGGGGGGCGTTAAGAAAAGATACAGCCCTAAGAGACCTTCTCCTCTCCCTCCTCTACCCCAACGCCGCTAAGCTGTGCGGAACCGCTCCCCTCAGGCGCCAAGGAAGGGAAGCCGAGCGGAGAGAGCTCCCCGAACCGCCGGCGCCTCAGCGGTTCAATTTCCCGCTGCCGGGAGGAAGGGGCGGGGCGGGGCGGGGGCACTGCGCCTGCGCCGCACCGGGCTACGTTGCGCCTGGTGCGGGGTGCGGTGCGCGGTGCGCGCGGAGGGTGTTCGGGCGGGCGCGCGAAGGGTGTTCGGGCGGGCGATAAACGCGGGTTGGGCGCCGCTGCCTCAGAGCTGAGGGGGCAGAGCAGGGCTTGTGGAGCCCTCAGTGCTGGGCGACACTGAGGACCTCCTACACACATCGTTTGCAGCTGGCATGCACGGTCAGCTTGAGCCGGCCACCCCATGGCTAGCGTTTGGACTAAGGGTAGTTGCCATCTCGTCAGGGAGGAGGGCTCCAGCCTCAACAGCGCTCCCCACCTTGAGTGGAAGGGCAGGCCCAGGTCCTGGGCTTTCACCACAGCCACGGGAAGCACAACTGTCCACCTCAGGCCAGCCATCACCTCTGCCTCAGGCACCCTCTCCTCACAGAAGGGGGAAAAACTGTACCCAAGGAACACACCGGCAGAAGTGCCACCTGACGAACGCTGTCTTGGTTGTGAGGGAAGGAGAAAAAAGTGCAAGTGAAGAAACGTGACTGGAAAATCAGGCAGGTAGATGGTGACAAGGGGCAGCCGCAGCTGTAGGTGCAGTTGTGCAGGTCAGAGCAGGATTAAAGAGTGCCCTGATACCCAAAAGCACTGCTGAAGCAAGCTCGATTTTTATACCTTTATCAGCAAACTTCCCTTCTGTGCTGCAGACCCGGTTTTCCCATGTAGATCGACATTGCTCAAAACTGATTTGTACAAAATGGTTTTCAAACTGTTGTGACTGAGAAAATGAGCTGTGGAAGCCAAAATGGCAACAGCCCCCAGCCCACGGGGGTGATGTCCCAGTGGTTCCTCCAGCCCTGCCCACAGCTCAACAGCCTCACACAGCTGTGCCCACTGTTGCACGTGGAATACACCCACCTGCACACTCTTGCTAGATTATGTCCTTAATTTGTGTAGCAGAAATGCATTAATTTCCTGCCTGGTTCCTCCTTACGACGACAGAAGAGGCCACTCAGTTTTCTCTTTGCCTTGTGTAACTCCCATCTCTACTGAGACAAGACTTGCACCGAGGTGAGTGAGCACCGAGTGTAGGTGTGACAATAAGTTCTCAGTTGCTGTGTTTTTGACCATAAGTATACATGGATTCACTCACTTCAAATAGAATTTCACAGGGATGAGAACAACCTCTTTTTTCTCTTACAGTAAAAAGTATCTAAGCATTCAAAGTCCACCTATAACAAGTCACTTTGGGAAATCTGAGAACGTTGGGCCCTTTAGATTACACCTTTTATAAGAGTTGACTATCTGTGGGTGAAATCAATTCAGAAATAATATTCTCAGTAGCAAATGTGGGAAGTTAGATTATGTGACTAAATTGTATGATCAGTCATAACCATCTAGCAAAAAAACTCAAACGATACCTTAACAGGTGAGGCAGATTGGAGCCATTTTCTAAACCTACTCCTTTTTTGGTTTGTTTGTTGGTTGGTTGGGGGGGGGGGGGGGGGGTTAGGGTTTTTTGTTGTTTTAAATGCAACAAATTTGCAACTAATTTAAAGTCATAAGGATTATATTTTTTTAGCCTGTTAAAAATGGACTCCTGAGTGCAACAGTAAGAGTGCTAACAGAACTTCTGCTGCAAATTTATCAGATGGGTTGGATCTTGAATATGGTGGAGCTTTGAGGTGGCATGTCTCCAAGTTCACAACATATTTCCTTCTGTCTCAAGGATGGTCCCAGCTTTAAATTACTCATGCTCTGTTGTACAGACATGTTAACAGCTGAATTGCACAAGAACAACAGAAAGTTTGAGATTTTTAGATCATTTGCCAGCTGAGATTCCAGGAAGATTTTACAGGAACACAACACATGAAAAAGTCATCCTGTGCATTATGATAGCTGCTTTGTTAGAGCAATGCCCACATGCCCACCCCATGTGAGGATTACAGTCTGCTTGAGACTGTGAATATAGACAGTCAGTTCCACAACTGGGTTTGTGAGTTTAATGTACTACACAGTGTAAAGGAAATATTGTCATTGGTATTCACTGATGGGTCATTACTCTAGGAAGAGATTCTTTCAGGTTGATATTAAGTGTTTAGCTCGGTTTACCACTTCTACCTGTCGATTTACTTGGTGTTTACATGCAGTACTGCAAAAACACGACTTGTCCAAGATCTGGCAGGTGAGTTCTGATGGAATTGGGAACAAGAGTGTCATCAGTCACTATGTGGTGACTGCCCAGTACTTCTATTGCAGAAACCCAATAGTGATGAATATTACTTTACCCACAACTTACTGATGGCAAACAGAAGTCAGACTAAATCCTTCTTCTGAAAAGTTGTGCGACTGTCTCCCCTGAGAAAATGAGAATATCCATGTGTTATTAATACTGGCATATTCATGGCACACTGTAGAGCGTTTCTCATACTGTTCAGTTAAGCTCAGCAGTACGAGCACACAGCTGGCAGTTCATTGCAATAGTCTTTATTAAGCACTGTAATGCTGTTGTTTGATTTTTTAATTTCTTTTGTGATCAGAATAGTTTGGAGTAAGTAAAAGAAAAAAATGCATAGGAAATTGTGCACCGGGTAACAAAATCCTTGAGTACATATTGCTTCCCTTCAGAGAAACTTGTTTCTCCAAAGAACCAGAAAGAAAATGGGCTTCCTGGTTTTATTTCTTTGGTGTTTCTATGATGACAATTTACTGATTGGCAGATTTTTTTTCCCTGGTTTACACCAGTTTGCCTGCACGAATGAAAGTTCTTCTCTATGTATTGTCTCTTTCCTTAATCTTATTTTACCAGAGGAGCACTGGAACTCCCGCATCAGCACTGACAGGACAAGAATGTGTTGTATTCCCCTGTGGGCATCATCAGTAGTAGCAAAGTCAAAGTGAAGAGTAATAGTAAAGGATACTGATTTTGGGTTTACAGGCTCCAGTTTGACTTCTATGGGTTCTTCTCTTCCAGAGTGCCAGAAGCAACACAAAGCTTCCCGTTTAACAGCTTGCTGGGCACAATGGCCAGGCCTTTTCTCCCTAAGCCCTGCCAAGGAGCAACTGAAATGTTAGTCAACATACTAAGTTTTAAGGCACATAAGCATTACCCCCTTCTCTCATTTTTCAGAAATCTGTTGATCTTGTGTAAAGCCAAATGATGTATCCTGACGCATGAAACACGCTCTGTGCTGTCTGCATGTTCTCTCTTGCCTGAGGCAGGAGGGCGGAGGGGTTTTATGTGCCTAACCACTAACTGCTGCAGAAATTTTTAAAATCCTACCCACTTCAGCATGGGCCTAGGGCTGTGTTTTTCCTGGCTGCAATTCACTCCTGAGAAAAATGTTCTGACTTGCTTACAGCCACATAAATATATCAAGGGAAGGGCTTTACAGATCAGGTTCCTGGAGTAAAACCAGTTTGCTACACAAAATCTGTCCTTTGGAGATAGATTCTGCTCTCACAATGGTGCAAATGTCCAGTAATTATAATGAAGTCACTAGAATGACATTAGTATGAAGCTAAAGCAAAATTTTGTTCCCTTTCCTGCGTTACATCTGGGGCTTGGTTAGACTCTCCCTCATTTTTTACTTCAATTATTTTCAAGTTACCTGTCTTGAAAAGAAAAGCTGGCATAATTTGTTGTAGCTGAGAGGCACTGCAATTTGCCATTACAGAAGATAATGTAAGAGCCAGCTGAGATGGGCTCCCCAGTTCTCGCTGCTGCGTGTGCGAATCACCAACTGGGTGAGGCACGGCGCTAAGAAAGGGGGACAGCACAAGGCTCTCCTGTATTTTTGTCTCTGCTTATGGGATTTTCTCTGGCATAGTCATACTAAAAATTACAGTCTGAAGTCTTTATGAGACTGTAGCAGACAAAGGAAACAACAAACAGACCTTCAGTGTTCTGGTCTTTGCTGGAGAACAGATTGATCATTATTTTAAGAAAATTCAAGCCTTTCAAATCTTAGCCCTTGCCCAAACTAGTCCCTGGTACAGCTTTTATCATCTGTGCTGGTCTGAGCCTAATTTTGTGTTAAAGGTGTTCGCACTGTAGTGGAGCTTGAAGAGTCCTTTCATTTTGTCACGTGTGATACAAAAGTTCATTTCATGCTGTGCGCACGTAACTCAGGTTGCTTGCATTTATCCGTGCTATTAAAATTGGTGAAACTGAAAAAGTGTACACAGTTTATTTGCTCGTGCAGACGAGCTAGTTTGAGGGCAGTGACCCATGGTGTGTAGGCCTTGGGTGGACCCAGTGGATTAAGCTGGGGCACCAAAAAAGTCATCCGTTGAGCAGGTGCGCACAGAGGGAGGTGCACACCTTACCTTCTTCTTGGACTCCTGGGGGTTGCACTTTTCCTCTGATTGTAGACGAGTGAGTCGTGTCCATCATCACTTCAGCAGCATTGGGTTATCATTTGATTTTAGAACAACCAATCACTCTACCGAGCACACCTCCTCCCCTACTGATCTGCAGCATCAGCAAGCAGGAGTTGAGTTAAAAATACACTTCCTCCCCGTTATTATGAAACAAATCGTGTCATTTAGCTGAGGCTAGAGAAAGCCTTATAAAATAAAAGTGTAGAGGTCTTTTCCTAAGGATGAAATACGAATGTGGTATTCATGGGACTTTTCCATCTCTGGATACTGCTGACAATAAAGTCCCATCGAAGAGATTACAATGAGGCAAAGTTGCCAGGCACTGATCACACTTATGTTGCAAACCAGGCTCACAGGTTAATACGCTCATGTGAGACCTGCCTTAAAGCTCTCTCCTTTTTTCCTGGTCATACAATTAGTAACTTACATAATGTTTTAAGTGTGCATAATTGTCATATGGAGGATATGTCTGTGTGTTATTCGTGAAAATAAAATCACATGTCTAAGCACAGCTGCCTCAGGATTGTGAGGCAGGCAATTCACCAAGATTTGTGAACAGGTATGAAACCCT